CGGGGAAGAGGTCCTACCTCAAGTACAGGAGTTTAAGTATCTCGGGGTCTTGTTCACGAGTGAGGGTAGGAGGGATCGGGAGATCGACAGGCGGATTGGTTCGACGTCTGCAGTGATGCGGACGCTGAACCAATCTGTCGTGGTGAAGAGGGAGCTGAGCCAGAAAGCCAGGCTCTCGATTTACCGGTCGATCTATGTCCCAATCCTCACCTATGGTCATGAGCTTTGGGTAATGACCGAAAGAACGAGATCGCGGATACAAGCGGCCGAAATCAGTTTCCTCCGTAGGGTGGCCGGGCTCAGCCTTAGAGATAGGGTGAGGAGCTCGGACATTCGGGAGGGACTCGGAGTAGAACCGCTGCTCCTCCGGATCGAAAGAAGCCAGTTGAGGTGGTTTGGGCATCTGGTCAGGATGCCTCCTGGACGCCTCCCCGGGGAGGTGTTTCGGGCATGTCCTGCCGGCAGGAGGCCCCCGGGTCGACCCAGGACACGTTGGAGAGGTTACATCTCCAATCTGGTCCGGGAACGCCTTGGGGTCCTGCCGGAGGAGCTGGTGGAGGTGGCCAGGGAGAGGACGGTCTGGAGCTCCCTAGTTGGGATGCTGCCCCCGCGACCCGGACCCGGATAAGCGGAGGAAGACGACAAAGGTTTAACTAAAGAATTAAAATTACCCCGTCTCCAGCAGGAACTGGTGGTACGATCCAGTTTTCCTCTCCAGTACTTAACCGCTCTGAGCCCCGGCCACTCCCAGGGGTTACAGCAGGTAAAAAACGATAAAAGAGATGTGGCAAGGTGGAGAAGAAAGAGCCCAGGCGGGATTCGATCCCCAGGCTCCTGGGTGAGAGTCACGCGTGCTTACCAGTCAGCCAACCCTGTGACCAAGTAGCCGGGGTGCACAATCAATCGGAATACAGCGACCAGACGCTCACCCTGTCTCATCTTCCCCCCTCTTTGCACAAGCGCAGGGTGCTACAAACTTCAAATGCATGGACCTACTTCACAGTAGTACAAGGATCTTGCCAATAACGCCAAACCAGTCAGCCAAAGGAATATCCCTTTGGCCGACTGGTCCTTGTTTCTCCACCTTACCACAGAAAGAAGAATTAGAATTTTGTGAATTAGAATTTGCAAAAGGTGAAAAGGAATTGATAAACGTACATCATTAAACTAAATATGTGCACTTACAAACAGAACAAATGTACTTAAATGATTGCATAGTGTGTGTTTGAATGAAAAAGAGGAATTAAGGTGCAAGAATGACCCACTCAGCCTGGGTTTGGCCATCCAAATAACACATCGTAACAGAATGTCTTAACCATTTTGAAGTGTGCTTCTGGGAACAGTTGTAAAATAAATTCCTTATCCCTGTGGCAGATGGCTTCCTGAAAGGCCTCAGTGCATAAGAACAATGTTTCATGAACGTTTACCGTGCCTTTGATTTAGCTTAACATGGTTATTTACATGGACTTCTCTGATTATTGTGCAAGAGTAAAAATCACTGTCAACAGAGTGATGTAACTTCCTGTCATCTAGAGGTTAGGTCTAAAACGAGTCTTTTTTAATTTTAGTTTTAGATTTTTTTTTTAGTCAATCAATCAATCAAATTTTATTTGTATAGCACCTTCTACAACATTATCCGAAGCCCAAGGTGCTGAACAACATCATTAAAAGAAAAACATTCTCAATACAGTGTGATGAAAATTACCAGACTAGTGCTGAAGTAACCTTCTCACTGACGGCTGTGAAATTTAACAGATTGGAGCTGTTAAGGCATCACTCTGGAGTTGGTGCATCGATGAGCTAAAACTGACCCGACACTAAGGCCTAGTCCACACGTAGCCGGGTTTTTTTTAAAAACGAATATCCGCCCCTCCAAAAACTTGCATCCACACCACCTCGTTTTTAAAATACTCTGTCCACACGTACCCGGATAAATACGTTGTTAAGGACATGCCAGACCTGTAGGGGGCAGTACTTCCCCCGTTCTTAACCTCGTCCTTCGTCTGTGGTCTTCCGCAAGGAGCAGTAATTCTGCTTGCAAAAACAAACGAGCAAAAAGCGCTTGGACAATTGATAAAGCGAGCGCAGCTCTGAGGGCGTCCATGCTGTCGGCTAGTGTAAACACAGGTCGCACACGTGATGTCAGCATTTTTTTTTGTCGCGGAAAGTGACGTTGCGGACCTTAAAACTCCGGTTTTGTCCGTCCACACGCAGACACCCAAAACGGAGAAAACGCAGATCTTCACTTTGGCCGGAGTTTTTAAAAAGATCCGTTTTCGTGTGAAAAAACTCCGTTTTGGTGTGGATGACAGGCCAAAACGTAGAAAAATATCTACGTTTTGGCAGATCCCCGGCTACGTGTGGACAGGGCCTCAAGCAGGTTGCTACCAGCTTAAAACAGCTTCAGTCTTTTAAAGTTCACGGTGGTTAATGCTGAGTCATGTTTACATCTTATGGCGTTGATGCAGAAACATTTTTGAAATCACCCAAATGTTGCTTTAAGTTTACAAACTGAGGAACAACTGTGCTAAAGAGAACTTGTCAAACATACCGTGTCCAGAAACATCCTCAGGATTTGCTTTATTTTAAATGACGTTCTCCATCTTTTTTTTTACCTTTAAGCTACTAAAGCCACAAACGAGTAGCTCTGAACCTGTAAACGAAGCATTTTCCTGAAGTGTAACTCCTCTCGACAGAACTCTGTCTGATATGCGTGGTGAGTGTGTCGCTGTTAGTCGACAGCTCCGTGTTACGTGTCACAACTTTGAGGCGAGAGGAGCAGGAGGCGGGACCAGTAGAGGTGTGGAGACGTCAGCGCTGGACATGCAGTTGAAGGTGAAGCTGAAGGAGACCATGGGGCTGCAGGCTCTCTGGGATGCAGAGAAAATTGAACTGACCTCCAGGTACGCAAAGCTGCTCTCAAACCCATCTCCACACCTCAGCCTGATTATTTAATAACCCTCAAAACTTGTTGTGAAATGTCAGGACTGTTTCACAGGAGAGGTGAAAAGTTGCAATAAAACCACGATGATGAAATGGAAAGTTTGTCTGTAAACTCTTTTTCTATTTAGAAAATATAAACAAATATATGACTTGATGCCACAAAGATAACGTGATGATTTTGTCTTGCCCACAACTGTCTCAGATCCTTACTGTCCTCACATTTTGTAAATGCAATGGGGTTTGTATGTAAAGACAGAAATATTTTTTATATTTACTTGTAGTAGATTAAGGTAATAACTATCAACTAATTACTAGAAGTGTCAGTTTTTACTCTCATAATGACAACTCTTATAGATCATGCACAAATTATACATGAAACTCTTCTGCTACATCTCCTCTCACTGAAAATGTCAAAAAAGGACAGATCTGAGTTAGTTATGGAGATATTCTGCATGTTTTGCACATCTTGTCTGACTTAAATTGAAGTAGGTCTATCATACTTTGCACCACACACACACACACACACACACACACACACACACACACACACACACACACACACACACACACACACACTCATATATTTAAATGTGTGTGATATATATATATATATATATATATATATATATATATGTATATATATATATATGTATGTATGTATGTATGTATGTATATGTATATATATACATATGTATGTATGTATATGTATATATATATACATATGTATATATGTATGTATATATAAATGTATATATATGTATGTGTATATTTGTGTATATACATGGATGTATGTGTGTGTGTGTGTGTGTGTGTGTGTGTGTGTGTGTGTGTGTGTGTGTGTGTGTGTGTGTGTGTGTGCGTGTGTGCGTGTGTGTATGTATGTATGTATGTATGTGTGTGTGTGTGTGTGTGTGTGTGTGTGTGTGTGTGTGTGTGTGTATGTGTGTGTGTGTGTGTGTGTACATGTGTAGTTTTATGAGGTGGGGTTGCATATACTATCTCTTTTTTCCAGATATCAGAATTTAAAAGTTGGACTACCGGGTATATCTGTTTATCAGACACTGTTCAAATAACTAAATCAAACATCCCAACAGGTTACAGATTTTTTTATTTTTCCTTTGGGACATTTTAAGGATCTGAGTATGTGAAATATTTAAGCCCAAACAAAATGTCTTTATTGGGTTTGAACTGTTTCATTTATAGTTGTAAAATAGACAAGCTGACCTTGACTCAGACAGAATTCCTGGACGTTTTTGGACTGGGACCTCGTACGTCTGAACCATGTTATCACTTGCACATTTTGTCATGGTCTGCGTCTGCCCCCTCCTTTATGTGTCTCCTGGTGTCCTCCATCCCTCTCTAGGTTCCCTTTTGTGTCTCATAGCGCCCTCATGTGTCCTTTGTCTGCGTCTCAATTATGTGTTTTCTGTTTGTAGGCATTCAATCATCCCCATCCCCTCCAGTTGTAGCTCCAGCCTCTTTGTCCCCAGCTCTGTGTCTGTGTGGGTGTGTGTGTGTGTCCATTCCCCAACTCAGTGTGTGTGTGTGAGTGTATTTAGGTGTGACTGTGTGTGTGTGACTCCTTCCCTCAGTCTTTTAAGCCCTATTCCCATCTGTACCGGGTCGGCCCGTGCCGGGTAGCGTAGGTTGTTTACATATCTGGGTGGCCTGGTATTTTTCCGGGCCAACCAAGCTCATTCTCAGCCCTCTTCTCGAGGGGGTCTGCTTCAGGCCGACCAGGGCCAACACACCCACTGCTGACAGCAAATTCACACCTTCCATTAGAGCAAGCCTCTGATTGGTGGGTAGAATCAGCCCACATGGGCTTAAGGCATGCTCAATTCATTATCATTCATTATCATGCTGATTACCCAGAAGTTGAAAGTGTCTCTGACTGCATTCCTTGCATACCTAAGCAAGGATGTGTGGAAACAACCGGGCCAGGCTGGGGCCGACTGGGGCTACCCGGCCTGGGCCGACCCGGTACAGATGGGAATGGCCCTTTAGTTCAGTGTTGTGTTAATCTGCCCTCCTTTGGTTCTGCTTCCCCATTTAGATGTTAGTTGTCACCTGTCTTCCCTCCAGCCCTCACTCCACACACCTGCTTCCTGTTTCCCTAATTGTTCCTCCCAGTCTATTTAAGCCCTGTCTTGTCTTTGTCTTGTGTCGGTCCTTTGTGGTCATTCTGTCAGTCTGCTCGTGTTGTCTCTACCGTTTTGATCTCCTGCTCGGCTCTTTGGATTTATTGTTTTTTTGGCTCCAGCCCTTTTGGATATATCTTTGTTTCACTCATCCTAATGAAAGGATTTTACTTTACATCATCTCCTGCCTCGTGCCATCTTGGGTTCCTGCATTTTAGGTCCTACCAACACCGAACCGTGACACATTTGGCATTCCTTTAAAAAGAAAACCGAATGTAATCCCTCAGATGAAACCCCAGACCTTTAAACGCAGTTTCTCTTGATCTCATATAAAAGAAGCAGGTCTTTTGTCTGCCCTCCTGTACATTTCAAACAAAAGATGCTAGGAATGTCAGTCACTTTGTCAGCTGGGTCCGAGCCTCTTTTGATGTCATCAGAGGTTTGTGTCAGAGCCGTTAGTGTCTGTGCAGAGCATGATAGTGTTGATGTCCTTGTGGAGGAACGCATGCCCACATTTTCCTCTTAATCCCTAAATGTGTGTGTGTGTGTGTGTGTGTGTGTGTGTGCTGTTTGTTTATTGGTCTACCTAGAATTAGTGAATTAAGCGACACCTTGAAGCGCTTCCAGAGCCACAACAGTGAGAAGGACGTGAGCCTCCGCAGCATGGAGATCAGCCTGGACAGGATGGTAGGTCGCAACAGTTAGAGGTGGTTGAGAGGGCCACACCAGCTGTAGTCTGGACTCGGGTTTGATGAAGTCCACAACTTCCTACTCTAGAGGACCGCCATCTGGACAGTGTCAGACTTGCTCTCTATGCTGCTTATCTAACGTAAACGGTTTCCTGCTCAGGAGACGAGGAGAGCAGAGGACAAAGCTGAACTGGAAGTCCTTCACGCAGAGATTTCAGCTCTCCAAAAAATTCTGTTCCTAATTCATCAGGTCAGTGTAGAACAGCACACACCCATGTGTGATTGCTATGGGAATGAGATTTAAAAGATGTTTTAATCCGTTCTGAATAATCACCAGTTGGTCAGCAGCGAGGAGGAGACCTCTGAGACTACATGTTCCTCTCATGTCCACGGCCAGTCTCCACTGAGGAACGCCACCGTTAAGGCTGTCCAGAACGTGCTCTCCAAGCATCGGGAACAAACACAAGTACAGCAACATCTCAACGGGCTCATCTTTATGGAGCATCCTTTAACATTTTCACCACGTTCACTTCCAAACAACAGCACCTACGAGCGTGTTTGGAAGCTGCTCTGCAGAAGGTGGACACCTTTCAGGATCAGCTGAAGGAGAGGGATGCTGAGAGGACAAAGGCTGAGCAGACGATCCAGGAAATCCAGAGGGAAAGTCAGGAAGCTAAAACGGCTCTGGAGGAAAATCTCAAACGCAGCAGCAGAGATCGCTGCACGCTGGAGCTCATCTCCAAGTACACGTGTTCTTTTTCCTAACGGTGTGACCTTTGGCCTTTGTGGACTTTTGTTTGACTGGCCTACCTTTTTCTCCTTTTTGACACAGTGAGAAACGAGGCCTGGAGAAGCTTCTCTCCGGGCTGCAGCAGGAGGTGAACTCGCAGCGTGGTGAGCTGGAGGCACTACAGAGCTCATTATCGGACCTCCAGAGAGAGCGGGACCTCCTGCGGCAGCAGAGGGAGGACTTGGAGATGCAACTAGCTCAGCAGGGCACAGAAGCCCAGAGACGGTACTGATGAGTACAAAGAAAGTCCCTCAAACAGCAAACATCTTGTCGAACCTAATTATCATCAAGCTGCGTGAGCTTACAGCTCCGATCAGTAACACGTGTTGAGTTGCTGCCAGCGGTGCACCCGGATGATATTTGGATGAAATTGTAAATTATTTACATAGAATTACAGCTTTATAGAGAGATGCGCTCTATTAATTTTCCAGGATTTCCTCAGCTGGAAGATTTGATTAGCGGAGAAGGGAAACGGGACGCGTATTTGAGCCTTTGGTAACGGGGGGTTTGTTTTTTTTCTAGGTGAAAATGGAGATTTTGTTTGAGAGATAAGGTTTGAAGGAATCGCATGTGTACAACATTTCATGTTTCAGGGAGAAGAGCGCGCAGCAACTTGAAGAAAAACACTCCAGTCTGCGCAAAGAACTCATAACAGTGAAGGAATCTTTGAGTCAAATCAATCTGGAGAAAGAGATGTTGGAGGAGGACAAGGCTGCTCTGTCTCTGGCTCTAACCAAAGTAAACTACGTGTGCACCAGCACTCCTGATGCAGGATGGAGCCATCGCTGATGGGTTGTTTACTCTTGATGGTGTTGGTTGGTTTCACAGATGGAGGCCCATCGTGCTTCACAGGAGCACGCTCTGACCAAACTCAAGCGTCAGCAGGCTGCTCTAAAAGAGTCTTTCACCAAAATGGCTGACCTCAGTGAAGGTTTAGCCAAAGACAAGGTGGAGCTCAATCGCGTTGTGCTGCAGGTCAGTCTCGAGGTCCTTGTGCAAACATTGGTGAGTGACCAAAACCAAAACACTGGTGAAATCTTTTGGGTTCCCTTCCAGGTAGAAAGTGAGAAGACGGAGCTTGATAAACGGAGACGTGAGGCTGAGGTGGAGCGCACAGCAGCCAGAGAGGTTGCAGCACGGACACAAAGGGAAATGATGAATTTCTTTGCTGAAAAACAAGCTCTGGAGAGCTCCCACATTCAGCTACAAGATGTCTGCCAGGGGCTGGAGGCAGAGCTGAGCCTCCTGCGGAAGGTGAAAGCTGAGGCCCTGGAGGAGAACTCCCAGGTCAGGGACCGTCGGTCATTCGCACTCCTTGTTGCTCCCACCTCCTGGACTAGCTTTCTTCACATTCACATGGCTTGTTTGTGTTACATGAAACTGTATAGCTCATGGTTTGACACACATCTGTGGTTATTCATTTCTTATTTTATGTGAGAAGAACATTTTCAGCTTTTTTTGTTTTCGATAACTAACTTGGGACCAAGTGGTCCCATTCACCCCTCTTCCCCAGCAGAGGTGTATTCTCCTTTTTGTAATTTAAAGGTGCGATTCACAGAGAAAAACATTTTTACTGATGATTTCTGATTATCATTATAGTCACTCTGAGTTTAACATGCAGGCTGAACATGAAAATGGTCTCCTACACCAACCGCGTGCATACGTAGCACGTTTACACACAGAGGCAGCTCAGTGTGCTTCACAGACGCAAGAACAGAGACAAACAATGGAAGTGCATACTAGGGGTTGTATGAACTAGTCGACTTCACGGCTCTGTAGTGACTTTTTATGCCTGTCATCGACTAGTCGCTGTCACGTGATAATGTCTGACAAGATGCAGTCCTCGGAAAAGACAGCAGGTGATGAGCCCCTGCGTCGGGAGGCAGAGGCGACGCGCTGTGCCAGAGCGTCGGTACTGACACCGGCGGTAAAACAGACATTTAACCAAACTGTGACCTTTACCCTCTTGCAATTTTACCTTCCCCTCACCCCCATCCTAACCTTAACCAGCTTGCGCATGCAAAGCTCTGATCGTTGACGCGCTCCAGACATCTGCGTCCTGAGCACGGCCAAATCAGGTGTCGCCACCTCAAAAACAAATTAAACACGCGATCGTTCATGTCGGCTCATTTCCTTTCATGTTTTCTGTCTTTTATTTGTGCCTGATGCGTTTCGCTGCTGCGGAGCGAGGCGCATCACCTGTTTTGTCCTCCGGTGACACACCCACAAAATTCCACTATCTCCGCTCCGCTCCGGCACGAACTCCGCAGCAAAAACGGTCCCGTTGTAGTCGGCCGGCGAGCAGCGGCACTCCACTGTTTTAGCGGTCGGTAGATCTTTTAGAACTGCAGTTCAAAGGTAACTCATGAGGTGAATATATATGAACCCAGGTAGCAGTTTTTCTTTAGGACTGAGAGGAGATGCAGGAAGATAATAAACAGGCAGGACAGAAAAATAGTCAAATAAAAACAAGTTAGTATTTGTACCTGGTGGTTGCAACAAACAAACACCATTGAAGGTAATCAGAAGTGAGGAACAGAAAATGAAATAATTATTTTAATGTTTAGAACAGCAGGAACTCCGAGAGGCTGCAGGCGCATTAGTGAGTTTGCGGCCGCTGCGCAGGGGGAGGGGGAGAGGGCTGAAGTAGAAACTACCGTTGTTAAAAGAGATGTGTTTAACTTTGAAAATGTGGGTGCAATTTTAATTGTCAAAAACTCCAGCGAACCTGTCAACCTTTGTCTTCTTTGAGGGATAAAAAATGTCCTGAGCGCTGCCGTCTCCTCCTTTGGCCATTATTTCAGCTTTAGCTCCAAGAGAGTTTTGGTTGTAAACAACAAAGTGCGCATGTGCCGCCGGCAACTTCAGCAGATGATACGGTGGCTGGTAAGGGTCACCGCGCCTACACCGCATCCACGGTAATCCACTGAGATAATAGTTTTTTTAAAAACAAGACTGTTATTATTATTGTCAACTTTTTTTTACCGGGGTTTACCGCTACACCGGTTACTGTGACAACCCTACCTGATCGGTCTGCTTTGATCTATTTTGAAAACTCCGATCAAAACTGATAGGGGTGCTATCAGCCGACTGGGATCAAATGCCGATCCATCGGTGCATCCCTAGTTTTAATGTTTGAATGAGCTAATAAAGGCTATCTGGTAACAGTCAGAGATTTTTGAGAAATAAAAGAAAAATAACATTTGATAATGAACTCGCGTCTTTGAGCCTGCATGTGGTATATGAACTGATTTACTCATAAGCTCTGAGGAAAAGAGTTGGCTTCATACATATTTCTGTATTTGTTTTCTCTGGTCTGCAGGTCAAAAGGCAGATGCAGACCCTTGAAGAAGAGCTGCGTGTCTGCAGGAAGGAGCTGGAAGCGTCGACCGCAGCTGCAAAGAGAGCTACCTGTGACAGAGACCAGCTGGCCAAGGACAAGGCCGCTCTGGATGTCAGGCTCAACTCTGTTGACCGAAAGGCCAGCGGACTCGTGCAGGAGCTGCTGGCGCTGAGGTTTGTTTGTTTGTTTATTATGGTCGGGCTACAGAAAAATTGAGGAACTTTTTTTTTTGCCGCTTTTTCACTTTATGTTTACAATTCTTAAAAGAGATGACAAGTGTTGCAGATAAGAGCACGACTGGAGACAGGCTTAAACTCATTAGGTGGGGGTTATTAATGGATAGGATGAAAGTGGCCATTTGTATCTGCTTGTGTTTGCTTAACTGACTCCAACAAACATGGTGTTCTCGGTGGCACTCTGACTTTAAACAAATGTCACCTAAAATAATCTGTATAAGTTTGAAGGTTTCACTTGGAGGTACAGTAGTTGTTGCTCCACCTTAATGGATCGCACGACCTTCAGCACCTAAAAGGTCAGGCATTTTCTTTTATTGCTGTGTCTCAGAACGGAGAAGGAATCCCTGGAAACAGCTCTGTTTGAAAGCCAAGAGCTTTCCGAGTCACTGAGGGCTGAGTGCACCAGGTTGGAGGGCGAGAGGAGCAGCTTGATCCAGGCTAACGAGTCCTTGACACGTGAGTGGCCTCCTCCCTCGGAGACTCCCCTGTTCTGTTCTCTACGCTAAGCCCCTGGCCATGAAGTGCCGCTCACTAGAGATCCATATTTCACCTCTGAGCTCTGCAACAGCTGGGCTGCAGTATCACTGGAGCTGCTTTCTCAGCTGACCAGGGTCTCGCTACGCCACACCAACACAGATGGATTAAATAAGTAGTGTTAGGCTGCAGTGTTCCACTTAAAACCTTGGATGAATGTCCCCTATAAACAAAGTTAAAGGAGCTTGGGTGCACGTGTACATGTATCTGTGCAGAAGATGCTGCTCAGGTGCGGGCGGATGCTGAACAGCACCTGAAGCAAGCTGCAGAACAGCGAAGGGAGGTGGAGGAGGAGCTGGCCGAGGCGGAGAGGAAGGCCCTGCTGATGCTGAACAACATGAAACAAACACACAGAGACGAGCTGGAAGCTGAACGCCAGAGAAAGGTGCAGGATGTGTCTGGAGGTTTCACCGAGGCTGAAAATGGAAAAATAAATGATGACAGAGACAGTCCTGCGGTGTTTTCAGACTCAGGCCTAGTCCACACGTAGCTGGGTTTATTTAAAAACGAATATCCGCCCCTCCAAAAACTTGCATCCACACCACCTCGTTTAAAAAGAAACTCTGTCCACACGTACCCGGATAAATACGTTGTTAAGGACATGCCAGACCTGTAGGCGGCAGTACTTCCCCCGTTCTTAACCTCGTCCTTCGTCTGTGGTCTTCCGCAAGGAGCAGTAATTCCGCTTGCAAAAACAAACAAGCAAAAAGCGCTTGGACAATTGATAAAGCGAGCGCAGCTCTGAGGGCATCCATGCTGTCGGCTAGTGTAAACACAGGTCGCACACGTGATGTCAGCATTGTTTTGTCGCGGAAAGTGACGTTGCGGACCTTAAAACTCCGGTTTTGTCCGTCCACACGCAGACACCCAAAACGGAGAAAACGCAGATCTTCACTTTGGCCGGAGTTTTTAAAAAGATCCATTTTCGTGTGAAAAAACTCCGTTTTCGTGTGGATGACAGGCCAAAAGGTAGAAAAATATCTACGTTTTGGCAGATCCCCGGCTACGTGTGGACAGGGCCTGACTCCAATGACAGCTAAATAATCTGCTCAGTTGGACAACAGTTACATTTTTATTAGTTTATATGGTAAATGGCCTGTATTTGATATAGCGCCTTTTAGAGTCCTGGAACCCCCCAAGGAGCTTTACAACACAATCAGTCATTCACCCATTCACACACTGGTGGGGATGAGCTACAATGTAGCCACAGCTGCCCTGGGGCGCACTGACAGAGGCGAGGCTGCCGAGCACTGGCGCCACCGGTCCCTCCGACCACCACCAACAGGCAACGTGGGTTAAGTGTCTTGCCCAAGGACACAACGACAGCGACAGACTGAGCGGGACTCGAACCTGCAACCTTCCGATTACGGGGCAAGCACTTAACTCCTGTGCCACCGTCGCCCCAACAACTGTACATTTGTGTCATCATTTTGAACATTTGTGTTTAAAAACAAGGCTAATAAACGGTGCACCGTTCAAACTCAATGTGCAAACCCACACACACACACACACACACAACATCAGCTTCTGTGTGCAACCAAATGCTGAAAGGAATCATCTAGATCTTTTAACGTGTGTCTCTGTGGACACGTCATAAGCAGCAAATATTTCACCTTCCATGTTGTCGTTCTTTTATAAAACACAGAAACGGTTTTGTTTACCTGTTATTGACGCTACAGTTTCGCCGACGGCTGCCGGCTTCTTCAGGCTGACGCTGATGGTGGTGCATCACTTCCTTCTCCGTTTATCTGCGGGCAGCAGAGGACGTTGTCGCCCTCTGCTGCCCGCTCTCCCCTCTCCGACGATGCAGTCCCATGCGTGGTCCAGCGTGTAAACTCCGTCGTCCCTGTTCATGGTCCCACATCCACGTCTCCTTATCTCGATTGCTTCCTTGATCCATCTTTTGTATTTTTGTTGTTCGGTGGTTATGATCCGTGTGTTGTCCCAGTCCATTATATGGTTTTCTCTTAAGCAGTGATCTGTTACGGCTGACTTTTTTATTGTACTTTCTGCTTCTTCTTTTGCTGCTCTTGTGTGTTTTCGATTTGCCTCTTTCTCACACTCCTTTCTATGTTCTGTTGTTCGTGTGTTGAGTTGGCGTCCGGTTTCTCCTATGTATGTTTTATTGCAGAGTTTGCATGGGATTTCGTAGACGACTCCACATTTAAGTCCAACAACAACATGGAATTAGAAATAACGCACAGCAAGAACACACCTAAGAAATATTTCACCTGTAATGCGTACAACAGTTTAATAATTATATGTGCCGCGTGGCAGGATCAGCAGTATGCGGGGCTGCTGTTTCAGAGGGAGCAAGCTGAGGAGCAGCTGCGTAGACGGTGTGAGGAGCTGCGTGCACACAATCAGAAGGAGCTGCAGCAGGCACAGGAAGAGCAGGCCAGGCTGCAGAAGGAGTTCAACCAAAGCCTCCTACATGCTGAAAGTGAAAAGCAACAGGTTCGTGACGGGGTTATTATCAAACATCAAAGGTTATCTTTGTGTAGTTCTGTAAAACACTTTCAGGTACATTAAACTGAGATTATGATTAAGATTGTGTGCAATCACATGCTTCCCTGCTTTGAACACACAATGATTTATTGTGCTCAGGTGTTGTCGCAGAAGGAGACAGAGAAAGCTGCCCTCTCAGAGGAGATCGCGTCCTTACAGCAAGATCTGGCCACAGCAGGCATGGAAATGGAACGTGTGCAGAGAGAGGCCTTCAGCAAACAGGAGCAGGACAAGGTCAGAAACGCGGCAGGACTGCATTCTTGTGTCGTGCATCCTCACTAACAGTAGAGATGTGTGTCTTTGTGCTGCAGAATACTATAGCTGTCATGAAATCTGAGTTGCAAGACTTGCAGAATCGATTTGAAGAGTCTCTGAACTCTCACCAGAGCGCCGAACTAAGTCTCCTGGAGCAGGTCCGAGAGATGAACCAACAGAAGCAACAAGCTGAACAACAGGTACAGGTGCTCACATTTAACACTGGCTGTAGAAGCAGAGCTATGCAAGGGAAAAACGGAGAAAAACACTAAAATGTTCACCTCAGTCAGCCACGCTCAGCTCCAGTACCCATACCCCCTCCCTCTCCCCGCTGACTGTAACCGGGGAAAACCCCGCAGATCCTGGGTCGGTCAGGAGCGCTGCAAAAACCGCAGCTTTGACGATCACGTGATCGCGTATCATTCAGCCATAGTGACTAGTACTGAATACCAGATATTGCAGGGATGACTCAATCGGACAGAAACACAAGCAGCAAACATGGCCGCTACACAGAAGGCAGAGCTTGTTTTTACTGGAGGATCAGAGAAATGAACTGGAAATGTCAGTCCAGTTTGGCTTGGCACAGAGTGGGAGACCTCTGATCTGCGTCCACTGTGACCCAGAGTTTGCACCAATTAGTGCCGGTGTGAGGGAGAGCCATTTAACATAGACCTGTGTTGACTCTGGCCGGTGCCGAAGAGCCCGTCCAGCACCAGGGTGCCGTCAGGTGCAGAGCTCACTCAGCCAAACCCTACAAGGAGAGTTTCTGTGTCCCCTCTTAAAAACCTCTTACTCAGCTCTCATTTACTTTGTCCTTCTCTTGTCAAATCCACCAAAGGAAAATGTTGCTCTCCTGGCCTTAATCTAAACATAAAACTGCAATTAAGGAGTATAATTTGGCCCAGGTATGTACTCCTCAGAGCCAGCTGAGAGCAGTAAATCTCATCTCCGGGGTTCTTGAGGTCAGGGCTGCAGGCAGAGGGTCGCTGGGCGTTTTCGTCGAATAACAAGCTCACACTCACCTCATTAGGGTCTAACTACAGAGCTGTAAGTGCCTCAGCTATCCTTGATTTAAACGCCTGGATTCCCCGGAAAGGGGGTTTGTTTATCAGTCAGGGACTTTTCGCTTTTATTTTTTTTTAAAGCAAAAATTAAGGTCACGCTGTCTTTGCACTGTCTCCTTAGCCTTGTCAAAATATAGTAAATAAAGACATGTGGAGCCAAAGCAGAGAGGTCTTGAGGCGTGGTCAGCCCTCCCTACCATACATCAAGTCGGAGCTCTGCAGCGCACTCGTCTTTTGCTGCCGCCGACTTCTTTTCCGCGTTTGATCGTTTTCACTGAGGATTCGTGTGTTGGATGGTTGAAAAGCTGAAACGAGAAAGGGTGACAAGGGACTAAAAAGTATAAAATGAAGGAGAACAGCATGGACGTGGAGTCCCTGGTACCGTAATAAAAGTTTGAGTTAACCCCTTGTGTAAATAAACCAGTGGGGGAGTGTTTATTTTTTCCCCTCGCAGCAGCGAGAGGCTGGCTCCACCGAGACTCTGGGTCCCCCTCTCTCATGCACATAACACAACACTGCTGCCCTCATATCCCCCCCCCCCCCCCCAATCAGATAAAATGAAGTATAATTGGCCAGATCAGCACTGAACTTGTTTTTCTCTCACATTAGGGTTTATGAGAAGGAGCCATCTTGTGTGGCCTCTAAACATAACAAACTTCCTTTTCTTCATCCTCCCTCCTCCTCATCTACCAATTCATGGGGGGCTGCAGTTAATCATGCTGCTCTGTGTGGATTCTTTACACTTGGAGCTGCAAAGAGGAGATAGGGAGGGACACTGTCAGTGGGCCCAACAGACTCTTATCTGTACCCAGATAAGTTCTGGCCTCTCGGCTTTTCTAACTCCACGCACCGTGTTTCTATAAAACAGAATAAAGGTCACGGAGTGTTTCTAGAGCTAAATAGTTGATGAAAAAGTTTAGCTTTCCGATTACATCCTGTCAGTCAAACCACCGTTGTTTCTTAAGGCTTTTATTTTATTTTTAAAGTACCTGTAATGATATTCTAGCACTGGTCACTTTTTTAGGTACGCCCTTTGCAAATTGCCCTTACTTCTTGGTGTAATACAGTGGGGCAAAAAAGTATTTAGTCAGCCACCGATTGTGCAAGTTCTCCCACTTAAAATGATGACAGAGGTCAGTAATTTTCATCATAGGTACACATCAACTGTGAGAGACAGAATGTGAAAAAAAAAATCCATGAATTCACATGGCAGGATTTTTAAAGAATTTATTTGTAAATCAGGGTGGAAAATAAGTATTTGGTCACTTCAAACAAGGAAAATCTCTGGCTCTCACAGACCTGTAACGTCTTCTTTAAGAAGCTTTTCTGTCCTCCACTCGTTACGTGTATTAATGGCACCTGTTTGCACTCATTATCTGTATAAAAGACACCTGTCCACAGCCTCAAACAGTCAGACTCCAAACTCCACTGTGGCCAAGACCAAAGAGCTTTTGAAGGACACCAGGAAAAGAATTGTAGACCTGCACCAGACTGGGAAGAGTGAATCTACAATAGGCAAGCTGCTTGGTGTGAAAAAATCAAATGTGGGAGCAATTATCAGAAAATGGAAGACATACAAGACCACTGATAATCTCCCTCGATCTGGGGCTCCACGCAAGATCTCATCCCGTGGGGTCAAAATGATCATGAGAACGGTGAGCAAGTATCCCAGAACCACACGGGGGGACCTGGTGAATGACCTGCAGAGAGCTGGGACCACAGTAACAAAGGTCACCATCAGTAGCACACTACAACGGCAGGGTATCACATCCTGCAGTGCCAGACGTGTTCCGCTGCTGAAGCCAGTGCATGTCCAGGCCCGTCTGAAGTTTGCCAGAGAGCGCATGGATGATACAGCAGAGGATTGGGAGAATGTCATGTGGTCAGATGAAACCAAAGTAGAACTTTTTGGTATAAACTCAACTCGTCGTGTTTGGAGGAAGAAGAATACTGAGTTGCATCCCAAGAACACCATACCTACTGTGAAGCATGGGGGTGGGAACATCATGCTTTGGGGCTGTTTTTCTGCTGAGGGGACAGGAAGACTGATCCGTGTTAAGGACAGAATGAATGGGGCCATGTATCGTGAGACTGTGAGCCAAAACCTCCTTCCGTCAGTGAGAGCTTTGAAGATGAAACGTGGCTGGGTCTTCCAACACGACAATGATCCCAAACACACCGCCCGGGCAACAAAGGAGTGGCTCCGTAAGAAGCATTTGAAAGTCCTGGAGTGGCCTAGCCAGTCTCCAGACCTCAACCCCATAGAAAATCTGTGGAGGGAGTTGAAAGTCTGTGTTGCTCGGCGACAGCCCCAAAACATCACTGCTCTCGAGAAGATCTGCATGGAGGAATGGGCCAAAATACCAGCTACTGTGTGTGCAAACCTGGTAAAGACCTATAGTAATTGTTTGACTATGTTACAAAGTATTGAGTTGAATTTTTGTTATTGACCAAATACTTATTTTCCACCCTGATTTACAAATAAATTCTTTAAAAATCCTGCCATGTGAATTCATGGATTTTTTTTCACATTCTGTCTCTCACAGTTTAAGTGTACCTATGATGAAAATTACATGTTGTGGATCAGAGATGCTGTTCTGTAGACCTTGGTAGGAACCAGTGGCTATTGGAGCTGCTGTTGTCTTTCTATCATATAGAACCAGTCTGACCATTCTCCTCTAACCTCAACAAGATATTTGTCTTCACACAGCTGCTGCTGACTGGATACTGGTGCAAATCTGAGTAGATCAGCAGTTTCTGACACACCCAGACCAGCCTATCTGCACCAACAACCGCGTCATTTTCAGTCACTGAAGCTCATTTTGAAATTTAGCAGGTCATTTTCAAATCATCTAAATGCCAAAATGCACCAAGTTTCTGCTGTGTGATTGGTTGACTAGATACTCGTCAGCCCTGTTGACATTGTCATTGCGCAAACATCATAGAGAAATCAGGTCCTCCGCTTCATTTCATTTGCATGTTCCAAGATCTAAACGCAGACAGCGGGGTGATCGTTCGTTCTCCACGGCAGCTCCAAAGTTGTGGATCAAACTGCTGCGTGATCTGCGTGCGACTACTGGCATGACCGCTGGAATCTGAAAACAAACCAGTGCTGCAGAGCTGCTGAGTCTCGTGATGCGTGTTGAATGTTCTGCTGCTCTTACAGTGGGTCTTAAAGGTTTTACTTATTTTTAAATGTAAAGCACTATAAACACTGGTCAGTCAGTCGGTGGGCCAGTCTCAACAAGCAGTTGTAAAAATGCATCTGATGAAGTGGCTGGTGTGCGTATTTTTGAAAACATTTATCTACATTTAGCGTTCACCTTCAAGGCTTCCTGATTTGTCGTTGTGTGACCAGCTTGAAGGTGTTCGTCAGCGCTTGCTGGAGACCGAGGACAACCTCGCTAAGAAGCAAAGAGAGCTGATTGAGGCTCACAGAGAACTTCAGGGCTGTGCGCAGGAGCAAGACAAGCTACGAAGAGAAACGCTGGACCTGAAGCGGCTCCTGGGTGACGAGACCAGACAAAACGAGGCCATCCAAGTCTCCAATCAGGAGCTGAGATCTTCCATCAAAAGAGCAGAGAGTGACAACAGCAAGTATGGCCGTCACACGCGACTAAAGGTTTTCTTTGTTTTAACTAATTAAAAATGACGAATGTTTTATGTACTTTTTTAACTAGCGCGAGACGAACCCTCGCAGAGAAGGAACAAAAACTGTCTGTCTTGGAGGAATGTCGGAGCTCGTTGCATCTGGAGTTAAGCGTGCTGAGAGGCAGAACGAGAGAGCAGGAAAAGCTTCACCTGGAGGCACGCAGAGAGCTGCAGGAGCTGCGTAGACAGGTGGGAGACTCTCGGGCATTTCTGTCTCATTTATTTTAAACAAAGAATTACCTTTAAGTAATTTATGCCATCCTGATGCAAACAGATAAAGGTCCTTGAGGGTGAGAACAGCCGGCAGAGGCAGGAAGTGCTGGAGCTTCAGGCCCGGGTTGGTCAGGAGGAGCAGAAGGAGGAGGAGGCGCGCCATGAGGCTTATGCTCTCAAGCATAGGCTGCTGGAGTGCGAGGCTGGCAAGGAAGCAGCGCTAAATGAGGTAGAAAAACAAGCCGGTGCAAACATCAGCTCAGATACCTGATGACTGCATCATGTGATCCCTCAGACAGCACGAGCAGGAACTTCAGGATCAAACAGGGACGGGAAATCCTAAATTTATCATTCCAAATATCCTAGATTTTATGAAACGTATTCAAGCAAAAATTCATAAGCCCTGGATTGAACTTTTGGTGCATTTGGGGGTCACATCCTGCAGAAGTTTCTATCAAAATCACTTTGTAATGCAAATTCGAGAATTTGTATAAAATAATAACAAAAATCACTTTGAAATTTCCGAGAATTTAGGAGAACTTTTTTTTATGAAAGCATCAGAGTACTTTGAATATGGACTTATCAAGTTGGTCCATGAAATCTGAACAGCTATCTCTCACAGGCACTGTAACGAACATTTATATCATTTACACAGAACCGGGCTTCAAAATATCCCAACAAAAATCACCACATTTACAGCCTTTCACATCACACAATCCTCGGTCCCTGCAGACTCAGCACCGCCTGTTTGCACAGGTTGCAGGTCTTCAGTGTCGTGTGCGAAAACTGGAAACAGCTGAGCAAGAGAGCCGAGAGTTGCTGCAGGAAAGAGAAGTCTGTCAACAGAAGTGTGACCAGAAGCACAGAGAAACCACCGCTCAGCTGGAGGCAGAGCTGGAGGACTCAAGGACCACAGTCAAAGAGCTCACTGTGAAGGTTGGTCTAGCTGAAACCAGAGCCCACCGCCTCAAGGAGGAGTTGTGTCTGAGTGGAGCCAAATGCAGGGACCTGGAGCACCATCTGGCAGCGCTGTATGCAGGTCTGCGTTCCACTGTTGGCACCGACCATCCGAGGTTTTCTGACAAACCAGGTTCACGGAGACGGCCTCTCTCTCCTTGTAGAGGACGCGTATTTGTAAAAGGTAAAGATCAGCTCACGTCCACTAGGGCACAGATGTCAAACTCCGGTCCTCGAGGGCCGCTATCCCATGTTTTAGTGGGATTTCAGTCAGCAGGTGATTGATGAGCTGCTGCACAGGTGAATCAACTGTAATTTATCAGGGAAACAATAAAAAGATGCAGGATACCATCCCTCGAGGACTGGAGTTTGACACCGCTGCACTGGGGTGTCAAACTGCCATCTTCTTCCAATGTAGGCAAACTTTGGAGTTTGGTCTCTTCTTAGGAAGTGAAAGCTCACCACTGGGATCTGTGCATCTTGGTGGAGAGATGAATGTGGAATTCCTGCACAATGCCTTGCTGGAATTCCAGGAGGAGCTCAGGGAGACGCAGAGACAAAGGGTATGAATGAAATTCTCAGTCACAGGATAGAAAAGACCCAAAGCCTACACCTCCCAGATGAATCTACATCCCACTAAAAAGTTTCTTTGTCTTTTTCTCAGGATGAAGCCAAGGCTCAGATAGTCAAGCTGAGTCAAGATGTGACTGAGCTCACGGGCACTCTGGAGAAGAACACCATAAAGCTGCAGGAGCTGCAGAAGTCTTTAAAGCAATCAGAGGAGGGTGAGAGACCCTAGAGTCATTTAAGAAAAAGATCAGGTGGTAACTGTTTTGTTTACAGCGTGAATGCCATTTCAGGAAAACAACATTTGGCAGAAGAGTTGCAAAAGGCCAATGCTTCCCTGTCTCTGCAGCAACATGAAGCAAACTGTGCAGACTGGGAAAAGCGACGGCTTGAGGCTGAGGTGGCTCAGCTCATGATCAGTGTTCAGACTGCTCAGACTGAATCGAGGACACTGCAGGTATAAAAAAGATCTTTTGAAAAAAAGCACAGAATTCTGTAGAAATCGTGGTCTTTGGAGTTTAAACAGTGAAGAACCAGAGCGTACCTGCAACAAATACAGACTGGACCTATAGTAGAAGGTCTTAATAGGATTTTTCAGCAGAAGTATTTGTCAAGTTGCGTGTTTCGCATTAAGCATGCATCAGGAAATTCTCTCAATTCGCATCAAAACGAAACTAAGAATGTGTTTATTACCTGTGCAACACGGCCTCACCGCTGTCCTCTGTGAGTCGGTTCACAAACGTAGAAACGGTGTCTGCTCCACAAACGCAAGCTGAAATTGCTACTCCCATTCTTCTTTTAGAAACGTGAGGAACCAGAGGTGAAGCTGCTGTTTTAGAGTGATTTCCCCTGTAAGGAACACGTGGAGCTAAACGGTCCATCCGTGCACGGACCAGCATTCCCGCATCCCTCTGGCTCACGATTTTCCTCATTTTAGTAATACTGAACGAGCTGAAGTAGGCAGCAGTGGTGCATCCAGGCAGGGTTCTGGAGACACCACCGGTAAGCAGACCTCGTGACATGTTTCACGTGAAAATTAAAGGACACTCTCTTCCAGAATAACACAGAGGCTCCATACATTATTAAAGTTAAAGTCCCATTAGTTGTCACACACACAGGTGTGTGTGCGAAATTTGTTCTCCGCATTTAACCCATCCCCTGGGGGAGCGGTGAGCTGCAGACACGGCCGCGCTCAGGAACCGTTTGGTGGTTTAACCCCCCAATCCAACCCCTTAATGCTGAGTGTCAAGCAGGGAGGCGTTGGGTCCCATTTTTTCAAAGTCTTTGGTGTGACCCGACCAGGAGTCGACCCCTGATCTCCCGGTCTCAGGGCGGACACTCTACCACTAGGCCACTGAGAAAGGTTACTGCAGGTTTCATCCACAGGAACTGGTAAACTGGACGGTTTGTGTCAGAGGTGCTCACGTCCAAAAACATCAGCCTGTGTCTTTTCTGAATTCAAATTCATAAACTCAGGGGTCATTGTGGTTCAGAAGCAGCTTTTTAAAGTTGTCGGCTGTTTTAATGAAACATACGTGTATCGCACCTGAAACCTCGCCCACCCCATGCTGCCTTTAATCCAGTCAAGAGAATCCTGTCCTGATTTCTCCGCAGGACAAATTGGACGTCTTGCGTGGTGCAGAATGTTTTGCAGAGGCAGAAAAGCGGAGGTTCAAAGAGTCTCTGGACGCAGCAGAAAGTAGAGTGAGCCATCTGGAGCTCTCCCAGTGCACCTGCGAGGGTGAGCTGCAGAGGGCCGGGCTGAGGGCAGCTGAGCTGGATGCGGAGGTCGGGGCACTGCAGCAGAGACTCGCGGACTTGAGGAGGAAACTGGGTGAGAGTGAAGATCGATGCGCGGCACTGCAAGTCAGCAAGAAGAAAATGTCCGTGTCACTGGCTCGAGCTGAGCAGCATGAGAGTCAGCTCAGAGAGCAGGTTCACAAACTGTCAGACATCCTCAGTGACAACCGGGCAAACAACGAGAGCCTGCAGGAGCAAATAACACAGCTGCAGAGGGTCCTGACTACGAGCGAGCAGGACCGACGGCTGCTGCAGGTACCGTCTGTCACGTTTTACACTCGCCACTCAACAAAGTGTCGATGCAAGGGAACAGGTGCTTTTAAACGGGAATCGCAGGCTGCCCGCGTTTACTTGAGCAGCTAAACGTAGATTTAGTGGATTCCAAAAATCTTTGTAGAAAATTTTTTCTCCCTGCTTTTTAAATTATTTTGCAGCTCTCAACAGTTACTTGTAAAAGTAAAAAAGGTTCCTAAATCACGACATTCCTTATGTAACGTGCATTTTAACGCACATGTTCCTGTAGGAGCATTTGGATCAAACACGGGATGCTCTTTCAGAGACCAAGAGGCTGAACCACGCACTCACACAACAGAGCCAGAACTTTCAAAGAGCCCAAGAGGACTCGGATCTTAAAATCTCAGAGCTGGAGAAACATAGCAGGACCCTGAAGGAGGTGAGTCATGCTGCTGCAGTAAAACGAGTGCAAAGGTTGAGGCTTTATTTTGATGTATGGTTGATTGACTGTGTCCCAGAGCCTGAAGCAACAGCAGGAGGCTGAACTGAACGTTTCCCAGCAGCTGCAGAGAGAG